TCGCCGGAAAAGTGACGGGGGCCGAGCGGCGGCGGCGATTCGAACGAGCAGCGCGCCCAGCGCTGGGAGTCGAGGTGGGGGAACCAGGCGAGGCGGGGCGGGCGGCTGAGCGAGCGGCGAGTGGCCGAGAGGCGAGGCCCGGTGCCCCCACCACTACTAGCCTTCCCCTCCCGGCCCTGTACTACCTTGGGCGCGCTGTTCGTTCGAATCGCCGCCGCCCGCCGCCGCTCGGCCCCCGTCACTTTTCCGGCGATTACGCCTACACCCGTGAAGCGCTGGGAGTCGAGGTGGGGGAACCAGGCGAGGCGGGGCGGGCGGCTGAGCGAGCGGCGAGTGGCCGAGAGGCGACGCCCAGTGCCCCCACCACTACTAGCCTTCCCCTCCCGGCCCGCTCCGGCGCTGGGCGCGCTGCTCGAACAAGAAAACAGTCGCCAAAAATATTTTTTCTTGCATATATTACCTCAGAATAATGTGGGTAAAAATTACAGGAAACATTCGTAAAAATATTTACAGAAATATTTGGTATTAGTTTTAGAGAAATTTTGTAGAGTTATTTTTACAAGTGTCTGTAATTTTACAGAATGTGGTAATTTTACCAGAGTTATACTTGGCACTAAGTATACCAAGACTTTTTCTGTAAAATCTCCCCCAAAATTTTTAACAGTGCAGCTAACTTTTTTTCCGTGTACTGGCTTGCCTAGCCGAAGGCGTTTGGTGTGAAGTCAAGTCGTATCTCGTATCGACGCGGATGAGTGGTGGATGGTTTCAAGGTTTATTGAGGCCTGAGAGGCGGCACTGCTTCTTGCTCCAGCCGCTGGGGCGCAGCACGCTCTGAGTCCTCTATGAGAAATTAACGGGTCAGGTGCGCCCGACACATATTTGATTATTTGATACCGACAATGGCGAAATGACACCCCACTTCAGAGAATACGACTTGGTATAATTAGAAAATCTAAAATACACCACCATTTTGAGTGCACAATTTCTCATAGTAGATTGGGGGGTCCACGTAGAATATCGAGGGATGCGTGTGCGTGTATTGTTCCCTGTACTGTGAATTTGCTCAATTAATGACTAAACTGAATAATCACTGAAAATCGACTTAGTCGACAACAGTTCCCTCGTGAACTGTAAATATTTGAAGTCTGTGCCCCTTCCATTAAAACGAGCTTAATTGGGTGCATGTTTATACAGATATATGTTACATGTTGTGCATTAAATATAAATGTATAGTCTCTTGTTTTTTAGCCCGCCCTTCTGCTTTGAAAAAGCTATCCAGCGGGCTTATGCAAACGACCTCGTGTGTGTCTGTGTGTCTGTCTGTCTGTTCCACTAGAAGGAGATGTGCTGGAGACTTGAAATTTTCAGGGTATGTTAAGGTTCACTCCTAGAAAACGAAACGCCTACGGCAAATCCTGGCAACCAACCCTAAGGGGCTGAAAGGGGGTATCAAAGAAAAGGGGGTAGGTCAAAAAAGTCAGAAACAATTATTTTTTTTTAAGAGCTCCTTAGGGGTAACTCTTCAAAGTAGAGCCCTACGGGCGAAAATTTCGTCCGTTTGCTCTATCTCTAACCGTTTGGGCGCTAGAGGGTCTTGTTTGACGAAAATAAGTTAAAAATTGCTGTAGTGAACAATTAAATGTAAAAGAAGGCCCAAAACCGCAAAAGAGGTAAGAAACCCCACCCCAAAAAACGTTTTCTAAGCAGAAGGGTGGGTTGTAGTCGCGGTGTTTCACCGTTACATCCCTTTCTCGAGTCTAGGGCAAATTTTAAGGACGACGGGCTTTGCGGGCCGAAGGCCCGTTACATCATTTGATTACGTTCTACAGCATATCGCGTGACAGAAATGGTCGGGCCGCGGGCCCGACCATCGCCGCCGGCAGGCCAAGCAGGCCCGGCCCCTGCCGAACGGAGTTGCCGGCGCAGCGAAGCGAAGCTGGCAACTTCGTTTGGCGGAAGGGCGGGCCTGCTTGTTTATGAATAAAGTTATACCGGGTGATTCAGAGCACGCGCCGCCGTGTTGCGGGTTTGCCTATCCTCGACTCGGCGGGCGCACGGGTGAGAGGTGAGGAGATGACCCCTCTCCTCCTCACCTCTCACCCGTGCGCCCGCCGAGTCGAGGATAGGCAAACCCGCAACACGGCGGCGCGTGCTCTGAATCACCCGGTACGTGTCTGATTTCGTAATTGAGCATGCAAGAATCACTTTATACGAATATGTACAAAAATCTAATCTACCTTCCCAGTTAGTGAGCTTTAGAAGTTAAATATCAAAGTTAGAGGACTGAGATTCATAAATCGCTCCAAAAAACAAATTATAAACAATAAAGCAATTTTATGTCTGTTAATAAAACAATATAGGACAATAGAGGAAAGCGTACAATGACATTGTTTTAAAAATCACTCAAATTTACGCCTGTATTGCATTAATAGTGAAATGAAAAGTAGTGAACAAGATGTTAAGGATGACGACGAGAAAGGATAATCCCGAATCCACTGCAGCAGGAACCTGAAAAGAAAAAGGAACACAGGTGTTCACTTAATCTTAATCTTAAGGGACTTTGTAATATGTGGGATCGAAAATGTACTCCTAAAATAGAGTACTCTTAGGGATCCTAAGACAGGGGTTCCCGCACTCTAAATTCCTTACGAACAATAGGTTCGTAATGCAAACCAAAACCTTCGTAGCTTACGAAGGATTTTGAAGCGTTGTATTACGAACAATTTGTTTGTAAGCTTACGAACAATTTATTCGTAAGCTTACAAACAAATAGTTTTTAATGCAAACCGATTGTTCGTAAGGTCGCCACTGAGTCTGGTTTTGTGGTACTTTTAACACAAAACCATGTGATAACTGGTGTTTTGCGATTCCCACGATCTCGCCCACGATAAAGGGCATGATAACCACCAAAAATGTGATAAAATCTTTGATCACATTTGCTGGAGTTATCATGCCCCTTAGCGTGGGAGGGTGATTCTCAGAATACGGGCCATTTGGGAGTTCCTAATTTTTTTATTTTTTTTTGTCGAATTTGCTAGGTTTTTGGGTCGCAATGGTTTTATTTACCTTCGAATAAGATACGTGTAAAGTGGCGATAGTTCAAATCACGTACTTCTAGTACAACGTTAAAAGACCATATTGTGGTCACGTTCAATCAATGATAAAACTCTAATATTGCCTCCCGCACCTTTTAATTAGTCTTTTGTTTGCTCCACTAGTGTGTCGTACTCATATTTTACATCCAGTCATCCCCATTTTATGCGTTTTAGTATGACTAGAACATTGCAATAAATAACTTGTTTTTCGCCCCGACACTGCTCCACAGATGCCCAACCTCATAATGTACAGTTCTAAATTAACCCCTTACTACATATTTTCTCACTAGGTCATTACAACGCGTTACCTGTAACTAAAAGTTATTAAACAAAGGTCAGACCTACAAAGGGGGATACGGAGTTCACAAGTCAGAAGGTACTAATTGAAGCATTACCAATCCGGGGTTGCAGATGCAAGGATCCGCTTAGCCACAAAAGAAGCAGCACATCAAAACCTTCCTTTTCATCGAAAGGGGGATGTGATATGACGCAATCGTGCCTGTGTGGAGGCCACACGGTATTCACACTGCAAAAGCGTACCAGCCAACTTCCGAATTTGAAGACAGTTTTTGACGATGACGAAGTAGGAGCTCTGCCGATTGCTTCGGGGAACATTAACAGTCCCTACAGAGTAGTACTGTGGGCGTAGAATTGTTACTCTACCTCTGCCCAGTTTGACGTCAGTGCAAACATTGTGAACTCCGTTACTTTTTGAAAAAGTAAGTGAGAACGACTTTGGTCGTCTCCTGACGAAATATAGGAAAATATTTCCACATCGAAATTCATTCCTTGCGTTCCCTGGATATGTCACTCCAGAAATGCAATGTGCCTAAGACGACTATTCCCTTAAAATTGTCCGGAATTTGGCAAAGTCCGCATGTACTCAGACATTAGGAACGTACTGGAGTTCACATTTTGACCATTTAAACTGCTCTAGTCACCTACTGTTGCAGTATTCTTAGGTTTTTAGTGTTGCACCAGGTAGTATTAGTGCTTTCGAGTATCTAGATGGTATAAAAACCTTTTCAAACCATATCACATAGTTGTGAAGGGTCGCGGAATCTGAACGGCCCGTATTCTAAGAATCACCCGGGAATCGCAAAACACCAGTTATCGCCATGTTTACTTTGGACCGACTTAACCGCCCTGCCTACCCTAGTAGCACAGAACTGTCGTACGACTGTCGGACAACAGTAGAAAAAAGATACGAACTATCGGTGCGATATACGAAATGAGAAAAATGATTCTATCGTTATACTATCTTTTTTCCTCGAAACGAAAATCGTTATCGGCCAGCTATCGTAATAGAAGCGAAAAACCACTGTTGTGGATTCGATCAGAAATCGATGAAAATACAACAGAATGGTAGATGGTTTAATTTTGATAGACCAGCGACAGTCGTCTGACTATTGAAAATCCATTACTTTTGTATTTTCGTTATCGTCACAATAATTGGACGATAGATAAAAATCACACCATGTGCGACAGTCTTGTGTTACTAGGGTATAGCACCTGCTGCATTACTTGCACTCCATCGAACTGTCGATAGTAAACGTCGATAGGTTTTGCAGTTGTATGTGCTGCCCTCTAGCAGAGGTCGGCATCGGCTCCCAAACCCAGCTCGTTTCCGTCCCGCTCGCTCTGTCACCCGTCTCGTCCCGTCCCGTCCGCTCTCGGTCCGGCTCGCTCACTCCCACTCGCCGAGACTCGATCGTGTCAACGGGTCCCGTCTGCTGGCCAGACGTGGCGTGGCGTGGCGCTGGACCGACTTTGCCTACGCGCCACGCCACGCCACGCCCTCAGGTGACCGGCAGGCGGGGCTCGGCCACTCAAACGGGTCCCGTTCGCTCGGCTGCATTCGGCGAGGTTCGGCACATCGCCATCGCTACCTCGGGTTTCTCGCTCTGTCTCTCTCGCACACCTACTGCGCACGGCGCGCGCTCAGAGTGGGACCCGTTCGGGAGCGGATGCCGACCTCTGCCCTCTAGCGGTATGACTGTAAAGCTGTAAAGGTGATTCTGATTGTGTCAATAAGTTCTGCAGAAGTGCAGATACTTATAAAGGCGATTACAGGCAGACCAGTAGTAAACATGCCGAAACGAATGTGCCATATGTTTGATTTAGGATTTATTTTAACTTTTGAATGTTCTCGTTTATGACAGTGGTGTCTTGTCGACGCTGTTTGTCGTCTGCGTCGATTTGGCAATCACACATGAGCCTGAACCTAATTTACTGTATCAAAACACAGTCTATGGACTGGATGGATTTAGGTTATAGCCGCCCATAGGCTATGCCAGCCTAGGCTGCTAGCAAATGATGGAACCAATGCTTTTGTATTGAGTTCTGAGAAGAACAGCAAAGTTACCAAGTGGCCTTATTACACTATTGTGAGTAATACAAACCATCTCATCAGCCCCTGCGGTGCTGATGTTTCGGTTATTTGATAAAGTAATCGACGGCTCCCTCCTAAAGAATACGTTATGTGCAGTACGTCTCTAAAAGATACGTTATGTTCAGTACGTCTCTAAAAGATACTACTAGTTTTGAGGTTATCAGGAGGTCAGTTTGGGCAGGCGATCCACATCTGTTAGAAGTTCAAACCAATTGTTCCAATGGCTGAAATATGCAGATGGGGACTCGAACTGTCATCTGAAACCATTGATGCACCATATTTCAACCCCGTTTTAATCCTAAACGGCTGCCAAAAATGTGCTGCAAGAAAGCTCAAAACAGATAGTATCTTTTAAACGCGTACTCCACATAACGTATCTTTTAGAGACGTATCGTACATAACGTATTCTTTAGGAGGGAGCCGTCGTAATAGGTAATTGTTTAGTTGTCATTTGAGTGATAGACCTCCCCCGTATTTTCAGCCATATGGTGTGGGCAGTACTATTGAACAATTATGTTGCAACATTATCACTCTGCTTTTCTTTTTGATAAATGCTATCTTAATTTATTTAAATTTTCAATACAGTATTGAAACTTAGCCTTGACTCGTAAAAGTGTTACATATTTTTTCATTGGAAAACAA